GTGATTTTTTTGTTATTCGCCGGTCGATAACGTATTATCTCCCTCTTGCGCTGTTGCGAGGGAGACTAGAAAAATGCAACTTTGACTATTGATATATAATAATTTAATTTGCCCTTTTTGCATGATATAAAATTATCGACATAAAAGACAAGACAAGTAACAATCAACAACAGAAAAACATATAGTCACAAAGACAAATGCATGAAGAAACAGACTAGGAGAATCGACTCAAGTATCCAGAATATAACGATGTACAATACTGAATAGCGCACAATTTTCTTTATAACTCAGTTAAGCAGATACTTTTAACATAAACTTAACCTTCTCATTGTCACTACCCACTTGCCATTCCTGACCACAAACTTGTGCAGCAGAGGTAAGAAGATTGGTACGTTCAGAAGCAAAACGGAGACATGATAACAAATAGTGTTTAACAGTTTCTCTTTCTAAACCACACATACATAAGGGAGAATTACAACAATTTATGCTACATAAATTACCATTTAGAGCACAGTATATCCTAATCTTAATCTTGTATGAAAAACAGAAGCTTTTATCGAAAGTGAAAAATTAAGTCATTTATCATAATGAAGTGAGTGATAAAGTTTAGTTACTTTAGTTTTAAAATTAACCTTGGAAGTTGAATTTCTAACATCAAGATCAATAGAGTTCCATAAGGAAATTGTTCAAGGAAAAAAAGACTTTTTAAATTTTTCCGTTCTACATCTATACTCTGTAATATTTTGAGCAGTTCGTAAAGGAATATAAGATCTTTCATTCACCAATTTAGGCAAAAGATCTACTAAATATGGAGCTGTATGTTTGTTAACTATCTTATAGAAATGAGACAATTTATCAATCTTTTTTCAATCTAACACTCAACTCTTCCCAAGCAAGTTCGTCCCGGAGGCGTCTTGAACTAGTACCTGCTATAGCCCCAGTAACGACTTTAGCTGACTCGTATTGAACACTTTCAAGTAAGTCGCTATTTCCAGCAGAACAATTATCCCATATAAGATCCCCATACTCCATAATTGGACGTATCAAACTTTTGTACAAACAAACAAGAGTTGAACTATCAGTTTTAAACCTTTGTGACTTTAAAACCCGATCTATGACTTTTTCGAATAAGAGAGAAAGGCTAAATCACCCGGTGTTGTCAATTGGAGGCTGTGATATCGAAGAAGTTGATATTTATACCCACCTTGGCCTTACTCTTCAAAATAATATGTCATGGAATAGTCATATATTTTCAATCTATGAAAAGGCCTCTATAAACAATTAAATTTGTTAAAGAGGTTCATTGTCACCAACCACCAATCAGACCACCGAGAAATCTTTTTTAATTAAATCATCATTTAATAATTCATTGGATTATCGACAACTTCAAAAAGAGTTGTATCATCAGCAAAAATAAACGGACAGGATTCTAAATCATCAGTCAAATCATTTATATGTATTAAAAACAAAAGCGGTTTTAACACAAATCCTTGCGCAACCCCGGAACCAATATTTTCCCACTCAGATGACTGCCCTTCTAAAACTACACGTTGCATTCTATTTTCTAAATAACTTTCAAACCATTGTAAAAGGGGATTGCGAACTCCGAGTGCTTCGAGTTTTTTTTAGTAATCCAGTACGCCAAACTTTGTCAAACGCCTTACTTATATCCAAAAAAACAACTCTGACTTATACTTCTTTGCCGGCTTCAAACGCGCAATAAATCTGGTGTACAATATATAATTATATAATGTATTGATTGACTGTTGAATCACATGGTTGAAATCCTGATTGGAACTTATATAGAAAGCCTATTTTCTAATAAAAAATTATAAAGCCCCCAAAACAACTCTTCGGAGTCACATATTTTAGACAAACACGGTAGAAGCGACACTGGTCTGTAATTAATTTCCAGTTGAGGTTCGCCCTTTTTTAATATTGGGAATACATTAGCCATTTTCCACACGGTAGGATACTGTCCTAAATCAAAGGATAATTTAACGAATTTTGTGAAAAAGGAATATACTCCCTCACAACAATATTTAATTATTCTATGTCCGATACCGTCAAAACCACACGCCTTAGAAATGTCAACGTTTAGCATTAAAGTCAAAACTTCATTCTCATTATAACATGGACATTAGCAAGGAACATGACATGCAGATTGGAATAATGGTATATCAAGTGAAGCAGCAGAATTATCACAGCTTGAAAGAGCATCACGAAATTAGTAATATTCCAAAGTTTCGTTGCGAAATGTTGTAAAATGCGGGTAATATAGCCTTGCGAAATTTGCAATTTTCAGTCATTTTGTATTACAAACGGGAAACAGCCCAACAGCCGATTGGGCTGTCAATTTCCCGTGCGTAATACAAAATTACTGAAAAACGGCAAATTTCGCAAGGTTATATTATCCGCCTTTTACAACATTTCGCAACGAAACTTTGGAATATTACTAATTTTGTAATGCTCTTTCAGGCTGAAATTTTTGTCTAGATCAAAATTTAGTCTATAATGCGAATGGTCCACTGAATTTAGCAACAAACTAAGCATTAAAAATACAGGCCTTCTCCTTTGGGTTATTTATCGAAACACCGTTTTCTAGTGAATGACTTAGTTTTCTCAATAATTTTTGCTCCTGATTGTCTCTATTTGTACTTTTGAATGAAACGTAATTCGTTCATGTTGATTCAACTTATTGCTCCAGGGAAGACACTGACTTGGATTTCTAATTGAGTTACTGATTAATGAACATTTTGCTATATAATATTTTTCTCAACGGTTTTATATAACTGAGTACTTCATGTTAAAAGAATATAGGGGATCTTGAGAACTGTAGTTACTTTTTGTAATTGTTAGGAAAGGACGATGAATTGATGAATATATACAATAGAAGAAGATTATAAAATAATGAATAAATTTCAGATAATTTTTTCCCATGGCGGGCATGGCTGACAATCCGAGTATATTTTTTCTCTCAAACAGAACATTTCCTTTAAGTTCAAAGAGTTTTATAACAGACAACGCATCGTTCTGACCTACTTACATACAATTTTGGAGAAATTTAAATGATTTTCCTACTTTTAGCTGAATTGTTACATAAGATTGACATACTCACTAGATTTTAAACCAAAACAAGCTTTTTATTTATGTTGATATATGGAGTTACCGATCGTAAACTTAATTACACTAGAATGTATTGCAAACTTCCATCTCCTATGATTTTGCCATTATTTTTACGCACTGACTAGACACGTTACACAGGCGTTACACCACGCGTTGCATAATAATCTACGTTACACTCATTATTTTTAAAAATAAATATATAGTCTTATTATGTTCTTCTTTTATATAAAATTGGGTATAACGTGTGCAGCGTGTCATAGTTCTATATATTTTACTATAGACGACCAGCCAACCTCAATAAAAGTGTCTTTAATTAAAATGGCATTGATGGCATTTTTTGTTACAAGCTGGCAACTGGCGTTTTCTTATAGCTTAAACACTGTAGAACAACGTTTGATAGGTTGCCACCTCTGATATTGACTTTAAAGTGAAAAATTTTGAGAATCTGAAAACTTTGCCTATTATTAAAATGGATTTTTTTCTGTGTTGGCGTTGTGTACTCAGGTGAATATGATGTTTGTGATGTTACTCTGAGTGTATATCCACACCGGGCGAGCTTGAAAAATATGAGTATGCCTGGCCACTGTGGGAATCGAACCTACGACCTTTGGAATACTAGCCCAATGCTCTGCCAACTGAGCTACGCGGTCAGATGTCTGAGTCTAGTTCCTTCGGTATCAATGCAATCTAGTAATCATGATTTTTTCTGTGTTGGTGTTGTGTACTCAGGTGAATATGATGTTTGTGATGTTACTCTGAGTGTATATCCACACCGGGCAAACTTGAAAAATACCTTTGGATTACTAGCCCAATTGCTCAGTTGGAAGAGCATTGGGCTAGTATTCCAACGGTCGTAGGTTCGATTCCCACCGTAGCCGGGCATATTTTTCAAGCTTGCCCGGTGTGGATATACCCTCAGAGTAACATTCAAATACAACGATATACTAAGCAATTGTATTTTCCCCGTTGTCGTTGCCGTTCTAGGTTTCCAAACTCTCTATTATGTAAAGTAGATGTAACGTGTAGTGTACACGCGTAAAAATTGATCAGGTTGTTCGGCGTTGTTCATTGAACAATACCTGAACAATGTTGTTATCATGGCTGAACAACATTGTTCAAGCAACAATCGTTAACAACATTGTTCCAACAACTTGTTCACGCTTGATGAACGAACAATGGTTGTTGCAACATGATGGAACAATCGTCCGACAAGGTTGATGAAACATGCTTGATAAATGTTGTCAGAACAATGTTGTTCAGCGTTGTTCATTCATCAGGCGTCAACAATATTGTTCAAACAGGCGTGAACAACATTGATGAAAAAACAAGTTGTTTTTAGTTGTTCGAACAACCGTGAACAGCATTGTTTAATATTTATTCAGATTTCAGAATAACAAGTGTGCGAAGAGATTTAAGAGGATAATTGGGAACTTATAAAAAGATTACAAGGGATATTTTATAGACTTGATAAATATCTTCATTTTATATTTGTTGTAAAGCAAATCACAGAGCAAATACAGCGTTTTCTAAAGCGAAGAATACGTGGAAAGTATTTATGATCGTGTTCTTACATGCAACAGAAAGTATAACATGCAACAGAAAGTATATAAAAGCAGATATCGCTTGATTTTTGATCAGGTCTTCTATAAAATATATTTCCCACGTGGTTACCACGGTGGTTGGAGTTTTGAATTTAATACAGGTAAAGTTGGGTTTAACGATTACATGGTAGTACTTTTGATTTTGTGGAGATCCATCTGGTCCTCAAACCATGTATTTTCGATTAGCTGTGCTGCAATATAGTTGTAAAAATACACTAACCAGAAACTGTGGATAGTCTACCAAATCTGAAACCATCCACCCTTTCTTTTCAGCATCACCTTAATGGTGTTCTTAAGAAAGGCATACGCATTGAAAGTGAAAACACAGAAATTGTGGCAGTTGAGGAGTTTACATTCTGCAAAGATGATTCAAATCATCAAGTCTTTGGCAGTTTTCAGTGTCCAAGAATTGAAAGAACTGGCAATGTTGTGTTGACATCACCTCATCATGTTATTGACAAGGTTTGCTTAGTCCATGACTGCTCCAGTGGAAGCTGCTGTTTCTCACAATCTGAGACAACAATCACAGTTGAAAGAGAACTTGTTAAAAAAGTACAGTATGCATTTGTTCATGATGAAAATAATAAATATTATTTGACAAACAAATTTTATCTTGGGGAATCTCTCAAATACTTCAATGTTACTTCATAAACAATTATAACAATAATTTAGATTTATCTATTGAGCCAAGATAACTTTTCGAAGCGGAGAAGTAAACCAAGACCTTGAGAAGTAGATCAAAATATTGTGTGCATGTATAAAAGAACAATTTGACATTTTTTTGCCAAAATATGCTTAATTGGCGCATAGTTTTTGCATAGTTTTGGCAATTGTTGCATAGTTTTTGTGTAGGTTACCAGCAATGAAAGTGTTTGGATCCCGAAAGGCCAGCATAGTTACGTTGGGCCATTCTATTTAATATCCACCCCCTGTTGACGAGATTTTCCGAAGGGGGTCTGAAATTCTGAATTTCTGAGGGATGCCAAGTTGAAATTTCCGAGGGTGCATGGTTGTAAAAGGTGGGTCTATCCGTCAAAAATTTTTTAAATTTTCCAAGGAGTCAAATTTTTTTTTAATTTCCGGGAGGGGGTGGGGGGGGGAGGAGGAAGGTACTACCTGTTCACGAATATTTCCGAGGGGGAGGGTAAATAAATTCCCGAAGATTTCCGGGGGGTTAATTGTAAAGGAACCACGTCAACAAGTATTTCTGAGAGACTTGAGAAAAGTCGTAAATTTCCGAGGGGGTTCTACAAAAAATAGCGAATTTCCGAGAGTTCTTACGGAAAACCGTGAGGATATTAAATGGAACTTGCAGACTGCAAGTTCATTTTCTGCAGCCACGACTAATGAGTTCTTGCAATAAATTTGTATTATCGGCTGCCATTCCCTAAATTCCATCATTAATAAAATCTCCTGTATGCTTCACCCATTTTACAAACGTTCTTATGCATGATGATTTGCATAGAGTGAAAGGTTTCGGACAACTCCCAATCCGGGAAGGTAGAGCCACCTTGAGGATTCGTTTGATAATGGCTATACGATCGTGAAAAACGAATTGGTTGGCTAAAGATAAAGCCAAGGGCGTGGGAGCCAGGAGATGACAGCCTTGAGGCCCGGTTATCCAAGCGAGCATTAGACTCCTGTTCAAGACTGTCTCTCTTGGATACAGAGTAGGAAGGAAAGAAAAAGTTTTTAAAGGAAGCGTGGAACAAATTTGAAGCATGGAAGAAAATGAAGTTTTATTTAATCAAAAACAGAACTCGAGTTTTGTATTCATTTTTAAGCTTACTTTGTTTTTTATTATTATGATTTACTAATAAATTATTGTTTTCTTATTGCTTTTTTTCGTTTTTGTGTTGTTGTTTTTTTTAATTATTATTTTCTACTAACAAATTATTGTTTTGCTATCAAAATACTAAACATAGTTAAATACTGTAACAATTGTGACATTCACGTGATCGCAGACTTGTTTACGTTACAGTAATTTTACATAATTAGATAAAACCGGTTTTTCTTGTTTTGTTGACGAGATATATTTTTTTGGAACATAAAATAAAAGATAAATATGTAGTTTTTCGAGCGTGTTTTTAAACCCTTTTACGACGAATAAAGCGAAAATAATCACCGTTTTCTACATGGCGCCCAACGTGGGGCGAGCTCACGAAGTAGAGATTTAGAATATGTCGAAAATCGACCGACTTAAAGCGATTAGGGCGGCTCATCGAGAAGTTTGCCAGAAACTCGAAAAGGAAACATACGATTTGTTATCACAAGAATTATCCGACGAAGCGACAAGTAGACTCGAAGTTATTGACTGTTTATTGGAAGGTAAACAAAAGACTTTAAACGATCTCGATAACGAAATTACTTCTCTGTGTAAATTAAACGAAATTAGCAAAGAAATCGAAGATTCAGAAGCGATTGTAGCGAGAATTATAGCGTGTCGAAAGAAAATTAAAGACTCAAAACAAGTCGTTAGCAATGTACAACAATCTCCCGTTTATGTTCAAACGAATTCAGCTCAAGATAATGTCGTTAAACCGCGTTTGCCAAAGTTAACTTTACCGAAATTCAAGGGTGATGTTACGAAATGGACAACTTTTTGGGACTCATTTAATAGCGCGATTCATTCGAACGAAAGTATACCCGCAATCGATAAATTTAACTATTTAAATGCTCATCTCGAGGGTACGGCTGCAAGGGCCATTCAAGGATTAACACTTTCAAGTTCAAACTACACCTCAGCTATCGAATTGTTAAAGGAACGTTTTGGCAAGCCACAAATTATTATTTCAGCTCATGTTGACGAAATGTTAAAAATTCAAGCGAGCACAGATGGTCGACTTTCATCACTACGATATGTATACGATAAAATCAGTGTAAACGTGCGAGGTTTGGCTTCACTTGGGGTACAATCTGAGCAATATGGAAGCTTATTAATTCCTATTGTTATGTCTAAACTTCCTAGTGACGTAAGATTACAAATCGCTCGTAAGAACAGCAGTGAAATATGGAAAATAGATGAACTTCTCGAGGCTGTTAAAACTGAAATCGAAGCGAGAGAATCGAGTGAAGGGGCCAGGGCAAGTGCAGTTGACAATCGTAAGTTTTCCAATAATAACAAAACCCAGGCACCACTCGGAGCTAGTGCACTTTTCACAAAGACACAATTAAGAGGACTTCAAGATTCGTTGTGCTTTCTGCAATAATCTACATTATTCTGCTTCCTGTGATGTTGTACAATCCTACGAAGGTCGAAAGCAAATTCTTGCAAAGGACAGACGATGTTACAATTGCCTTCGAAAGGGTCATCAAGTGAAGGAATGCTCAAGTCAAAAAAATTGTAGACACTGTGGTAAACGTCATCACCAGTCGATATGTGACACAGTGCATGCAAAGGGATTCGACGAAACTAAAGAGAAATCGAAACAAGACGACGACGTGAAAACCAAGGTTACAACTGCAACGAGTTACGAGAATCGAAGAAAGCGAAATAGTGTTCTTTTGCAAACTGCACGGGCAGTAGCTCTGGATGAAACTGGGAAACATTCAGTTCCAGTACGAATTCTTCTGGACACAGGAAGTCAACGATCATATGTGACTGAGGACTTGCGTTCCAAATTAAAACTGAAACATGTTCAACGTGAGAAACTCACACTCAACACCTTCGGAGAGAATCGGTGCAAGAATCAAAGTTGTGATCTGGTAAATTTACGCCTTCAGAAACCTGGAAATCCTGAAATGATTGAAATTTCTGCATTGACCTTCCCTGTAATATGTTCAGCCTTACCTTCCACGGTAAACATCGATGATTACCCACACATTCAGGACTTAGACCTACAGTGGCGTGCTGGCAGGGGGGGCCGGGGGGCCACGGCCCCCCCAGCTGGCAATTTTTGGGGGGCGCAAAAATAAAAAGGGGGCGCCGATCCTGCGCCGAATTTTGAAAGTGGGTGGGAAAAAAACGCATTTGAAAAAATATAGTTACTTCCACCAAGAAAAAATGTGTTTATAGGCTTATAAACAGACTGAGCGCATAGGCGACAAAGTGATATATTAAATTACAGACTATTTTGTCTAACCAGCCAGTATTGCTACCTCACACGAAATCGTTCATATAGAAACATGATCAGTGATCACACGCAATGTCGCATTACCGGAATATTGGCCAGGTTTCGAAGCGATCACGGGAATTATGCCCTTTTTTGCTTGTGTTATGCCCTTATATTATGCCTTTATATTGCTTCACGAATCACGAGAGCGGCGCAAATTAGATAGTTATGATAATGTAAAGTTGTGTACGCAATTTAGTTGTTTGAACAAGAAACATCATAACTCATCGAGTAATGTGAGTAGTAAGATAATGCTGAAACGCGCGCCCTTTTTGCAGCCAGGCAAGGAAACCTTAAACGGCATGGTGTACCACTGACATCGACTCGCACCGATGTGCAGATGAACTGCTCAACTTTGCAGAATCTTTTCAAAAATCGAAGTGTTCAGTGATTTTTGATGAAGACCGAAAGAAGAAGAGAAAGATTCTGATTTAGACTCCGGTTCTGAATCTGAAACCGAAGACTACGAAGAAGAAACCGACAGCGACTCAAGCGACGACGGAACTGCTGAAGAACCAAAGGACAAGGATAAACAATCATTTCTAGAAGCTCTGAGAATTTTGTCGAATCCTGATTACCACCTAGTTGATGCATTTCCAACTC